CAACATTGCAAATATTACCAACAAAAAGAACCCAACTAACAATCCACCCAATCAACTTAAAAATACGCAATAAACGACCGTACGTACCAAAGGCCTCGGTTCCTCTCCGCGAATCATTCGCCGAATATTCTCAACGATCTCTCTCGGGTTGTAATTCGGTACTTTCGTTGACCACGCTGTTCCGATACCCTCTGCACCGTTCACCAGAACCATTGGTATGATTGGACAGTACCTTAAATTTAAAAAATAAACTTAATACTAACAAAAATAATGCTTAATATTATGCTACCAGCAGTAATAATAATAATACTATTACAATAATACAATAATAATAACAGTAATAATAACAAAGTAACGACAATAATGATCAATATCAAAAAACGCAACCATTCAGGTTCAATTCGTTGATTTTCCTCGAACAAGAATCTTAATACGTGCTCATCCACCAACGGGAATAACGCTCTTGTGACTGGATTCAGCTGAGTGAAGATGTAACGTGGACTCGCACTGTCCTTTCCGCCTTGTAAACGTGTACCGAACTGTCCGATTGGCAGCAAAAGATTGATGTTATTCGAACCAACGTAATCTTGCGCTAAGTTTACGATTGTCGACATTAATGACGCCTCAAATTATACACTTACATCATCAACCATTCAAATGATTACAATCAAAAAATAGATAAAAGATACAAGCCAACTCATAGCCTGACTCAAGCTCACATCAATGATATATTGCTACACCATTCGGTTTCGAGCCCCCATTTCCCTTCACGTTCACCAAAGAAAGTTTTGCCCAAAACCGAGTGATGTTCTTACTCGAAATCAAAAAATATCTCATCTCACATATACATATGCACACACCAATTGACTAATCCATTTAATTAAATAATCTATCTGATTAAATTGCTTCAATAAAAATGCAACTCTGAATAAATCNACACCAATTGACTAATCCATTTAATTAAATAATCTATCTGATTAAATTGCTTCAATAAAAATGCAACTCTGAATAAATCAACAAAACAAGTCAAGCAAAGAGAAGGCAAGCAAGCAATATCACGCACCTCTCCGTGATGATACGCAGACATCTCTCCAACTGCACCCGCTAACTGCGCCACTTTCACCTCTTTTTTATCGGCCCGTTTGAAACATGTGAACAGCACCTGCAATTTCAATTTCATACAAAAACTACATTCGCATCAAATTACACTTCAATTCAATTCATTTATCAAAACATCGAGTCCACATGCAAAATGATGAAACATTAAAAACAGTCAAATTCACTAATTGTAAGAAAATTTAAGTTTAATTTTACTGGAAAGTTGAACATAAAAGATGAGGACTAATCGCAAGACAGACCTTTCGCTGTCCCGGCTTCAGCCCATCGACCAAACTCGGAATGGAACGTTCATTATCACAATTCGAGAACAGCACCAATTCTTTATTAACGAAATCTTTAAACGACACACTCCGAGTGTCTTTATCGTACAAATACTCCTCTGTTAAACCATTCTCGCGACGTTCTTTCTTCTCCTTAAATTATT